ACAGTTGGTATCAGAGCAACGTTTTTGCGTCTCTGAAAAATTTTATGAGTCAGAAAATTTTAGAAAAACCCGAATACGTCATACTCATGCCTCGCCGACTACAGGTAGGTGCTGATTAAGTTTTAAATTATAAACAATTTACTATTTCTATGCTCAGAAATTCCTCAGTTATGACATAGTTAAGATGCTCGAATTATGTTTATGACCAATAGCCAGTATACTAGGAATTTTATATCAGTATTCCCCAGTCATGTTTAGCAACTCGTCAAGAGATCTGTGTCCTTTATTGATCAGCTTCAATAAAGTTATCAGTAAGGGGATTCAAGTATGATTTCAGAACTCTAGAAAGGGGCTAGGAGTGAGAACCCTAGATTCCATTCTAGATTATTTCAGATTAAGTTGATGCCTCATTCAGTGATTTGTAAACAATTACATTATACAAATCTTAGCAATCATGTTCCTCAGACATTTTCTATTGAAAATTGTCTGTTTTGCCAATTAGTTGGCATATTCCAAGGAAGAAATTCCTTGAGTTAGACTGGGATTAAGTTCAATTTTCCTAAGTCAAGTCAGTAAAGCAAGTTCAGGGCAACAAGTTTTCATGTTAAAGGTTGTAAAAATTTTCAAGTTTTTATCAAGTAACGGTTTTTCAGTGTATAAGAGCCAAAAGTCCGGGTTACCATGGAGGCTTGAAATAAGAGCCATTAAGCCGGGTATACCATGGAGGCTTGAAGCTGGAACCGGAGTAGCACAGTTCCAGAAATAACAACCTTTAGAGTCAGTTAAGTCAGGTATCTTACCAGTTAGATACTCTGAAATTTAGTTGTCAAAGTTTAAGATCAGTTATTTATTCAGTACTTGCGGGACCAGTTGATACTGGAGCAGCCCTATATAGTACACAGTCATGAGCCAATGTTCACGATTTACAGTTCATGTTTATGATGTAAGGTCGACGTATAATAGTTGTTCAGCCGGGTAAAATGTGGCGGTCTGAGATACAGACTATTAGTCCAGAATTACCTGGAGACTTGAAGTCGTACCTTATCGAGTTAGGTAAGTCAGTAAACGTCATGTTCCAAATTCCGAGATGATTATGTTATTATCTTGGGATAGTTTCAGCATTCAAGGTAAGAATGGTTCAGTCATGTAAGGATTCAGTCATGATTATTCAGTCATGAGAATATTCAGGTCAGTCATGTCAAGATTGAAGATGGTCTGTCTAATAAGACAAGACTTATTAGTCATTTTCAGTATGTTCAGAGCCTCGAATCTCAAATACGGATGATTTGAGAATTCGTAGGAAGGATCAGTTTATGATAAACTTTTCTTGAGGTTAAGTTTGACCTCAGGAAAGGTAAACAGTTGCAGGTACAACATGTCGATTTTCGACACGGCGAAGAAGACCAATCAACAGCAGCAGATCATGCCATGGTGACAACCAAGCTTTCCATTCAAGTATGCATAACGCCAGAAGAGCAGGATGCCACGCTATGTTGGGTCACAGTACACTGGCAAATTACAGAGAGTTAGCACTTTAGTACATTGAGGATTACTAGCCAAGATACAGATATGATCAGCCAGACAGACTACATCGACGTCGCAGGTGCAATTTTCGCTAGGTGCTGTGTGTAGGTGTGCCGCACTCACTTGATGAGGAGCAGGTATGCCGCATTACGATGTGCCGCGAATGATGTGCCGCGTGTCGAGTAGACAATTATGAAAGGTAGTTGCCACGATTGCTAGTTACCCTCATTCGTACACGTACGCATCTCTGAAATTTTCCAGGGGTACCTATGACAGGGAGTACCACAATCAACATT